TCTTTGCTATTGAGAGTTTTCGTTGTGTTAACTAACAAATGATAAAATGCTTTAGAACCTTCAGTTTTTTAAGCAAAAAGAAGGTAAAGTTATAATCACTGTTGAGACTATTCTGTTATACATTGTAATTCAGAAAATCAATATAAATATAAATGTTTAAATGAAATTCTTATTAAAGTCACAATATATTACATAAACTGTATTTTCTGGAACCCCATATACTTGATCCTAATAAATTTCAAACAGTTATCGAAAGAAAATTCACATCTTGCAAAATTAATATAGTTGAGAGACGGGACAGGCTGTTCGCCAAATCGGGACCTTTCGACTGCTTCCGCGTAAGAGACGATGTCTAACAGAAAGTAACGAAAGTTCCCGAAGGTCAACCCGGAAATCAAATACATCGGAGAACAAACGTATTCTCATCTTGAATGGTCAAAATTGTAAATTTTCAACGAGATATTTTTTCACTTGGAAGCACAAAAAGATATTTTGTCGGTCAAAATCATTTTAATCCATTCAACGGGTCGGCAGTTCTCATTGCGTGCTGCGGCAAGTGTATTGTGGGTAATGAAGTTCCTGCCACACTTCCGTTTAAAGTTGATCGTATGGGCAGGTTGTTGGAGTTGAATTATCACACACACACACACAATACCATAAAGCGCTCGCTATAAAGTATCTTTGCTTGTGAAAGATCGTTTCACTTCTCAATGGCCGACCAAATGGCTCAGGTCAGATTAGTCAGTGCTAAGCCGGCTCTAATGACAGTCTAGATCAGAGTGAAACGATCAGATAAGAGAGAGGAAATGGATGCGCACACGGAAAAATAATAATTCAAGGGAAAAAAACGGAAAATAATTTTCATCTGCCATATCATTACACTAGGTATTTGTGAGTTTACAGGTTGGAGGGTAAATACTGTGATGTTTACTTTAAACAGAGCCATGACCAAGCAATAAATAGTGGCACGGATCAGAAAATACACATACATTTTCCAACCATTTTCGATTTTCCTCTGTCCACTTCTAGGTTTCAATAAGTCAATACTCTCGTGTCCTTGTCATATGTACAATTTGTGTCTGGTACCAAAAATTCAAGATATAATTCTGATTTTCATATTAAAAAACAATACGGGACACAAATAAATGAACACGACTGCAAATGATTTGAATATCAAATGATTTTCTTTAATTAGAAACATTTCCTTTTAAAACATTTAAATTTATGTTGTTATATAACGTAGACGAAGCAACTTAAACATGTGTAGGTTCTTTACTACAAAATATCAACAGCTACACAGCATAACACACTCCGGAATACATTGTACATATTCTATACCGGACAACAACACCAGCACTAATACATTTTTACGGACAAGTCCTTACACATAGTTTTTAAATAGGTTAAAAATGGTTTCTGTATGTAGCATCTTGATGGAAACATTGCAGTTTTTTCTTCAAAGTCTTCATTCTATAGATACTGTTTTGCCACCGCTGAGGAAAACAATTAAGATATTAATTAACAAATCATTGAAATGTGTTCTCAGTTCTTTGTCGTAAAAAAAGAAAAATGAAAAAAAAAATTATATTGGAGGAAGTTCGCTACTATTTGCCTTTAATTCAAAGACATCTTAACAACAGCAGATCTACAGCATGCAATATATCTAGACATCTTTAATTTTTCCGGGTTTTGTTTTCCGATGTTGCTTACTTGTACAATGTAAATGTAAGTGTTATGAAAGATATATCATAGATCAAAAATGGACTATATCTTTTGGAACTTAATAAAGCTTGACCACTTTATCCATTATGCACGTCTGTCTTGAGAATGAGAATTACGTGGACGAGACGTGTAAACCTTAGGTCTGAACAAGACTTATACAACACACAGAAAAAAGGTAAAAACAGATGACTACGTTTAGCAAGTCTCATGGTAAATGTAAAGAAACTGAAAGTCCTCTTCAGTCACTTTCCCGTGGAAATTTGGATGGACAATCCGACTTCGATCTTCATTACTAATTAAAAGGTGACCGATGGAAAAATCACCAATTTGCCATGAACAAAGAAATACAGACTGTCAAAGTATTTATTGATTTCAGACCAATCTTAATTGCCTCAGTAAACCTATATCTGGGATACAATACAGGATGGTCTTTGGTTCTGTTCAGTTTTAAAATTGTCATTAACGACTGGTTAACTACATCAAACCTTCCAGCCGCTAGGTCCTGGTTCTTGTCCAATATAAATACAAAAACGTGTAATGACCACGATTTACGATGGTTGTTGATGAAACGGAAGATGTTAAACCTTTCAGTTTCTTGTTTCCACCGACATTTGACATGAGAAATAAACACAAAGAAACAATCTGACAAACAAGAGTTGTCTCCAGATAGCCAGCTAAAAAACATCCCCTTTTGTCCCCTGACCAAGAATTTTATAGTAAGTGAAGGACACCGACACTACGAAAAAGCAGGGAGCATGTCAAAGTGTACATTCCATGTGGATTTTGACGACACTGACATGAAACACAAGAAAGTATAGATACAATTATCTCACATGTTTGATGTTTTTGTTCAGATAGCCTTATAAACCTTCCACAATATACTGCCCCCTATAACACGGGGCCTACTTTGATAGACATCTGGTGGTCCTACCATATCTTACCCTTATAGATCCAACCTTTATAAACCTTCCACAATATACTGTCCCCTATAACAGGGCCTACTTTGATAGACATCTGGTGGTCCTACCATATCTTACCCTTATAGATCCAACCTTTATAAACCTTCCACAATATACTGTCCCCTATAACAGGGCCTACTTTGATAGACATCTGGTGGTCCTGCCATATCTTACCCTTATAGATCCAACCTTTATAAACCTTCCACAATATACTGCCCCCTATAACACGGGGCCTACTTTGATAGACATCTGGTGGTCCTACCATATCTTACCCTTATAGATCCAACCTTTATAAACCTTCCACAATATACTGCCCCCTATAACACGGGGCCTACTTTGATAGACATCTGGTGGTCCTACCATATCTTACCCTTATAGATCCAACCTTTATAAACCTTCCACAATATACTGCCCCCTATAACACGGGGCCTACTTTGATAGACATCTGGTGGTCCTACCATATCTTACCCTTATAGATCCAACCTTTATAAACCTTCCACAATATACTGCCCCCTATAACACGGGGCCTACTTTGATAGACATCTGGTGGTCCTACCATATCTTACCCTTATAGATCCAACCTTTATAAACCTTCCACAATATACTGCCCCCTATAACACGGGGCCTACTTTGATAGACATCTGGTGGTCCTACCATATCTTACCCTTATAGATCCAACCTTTATAAACCTTCCACAATATACTGCCCCCTATAACACGGGGCCTACTTTGATAGACATCTGGTGGTCCTACCATATCTTACCCTTATAGATCCAAACTTTATAAACCTTCCACAATATACTGTCCCCTATAACACGGGGCCTACTTTGATAGACATCTGGTGGTCCTACCATATCTTACCCTTATAGATCCAACCTTTATAAACCTTCCACAATATACTGCCCCCTATAACACGGGGCCTACTTTGATAGACATCTGGTGGTCCTACCATATCTTACCCTTATAGATCCAAACCTTATAAACCTTCCACAATATACTGTCCCCTATAACAGGGCCTACTTTGATAGACATCTGGTGGTCCTACCATATCTTACCCTTATAGATCCAAACTTTATAAACCTTCCACAATATACTGTCCCCTATAACAGGGCCTACTTTGATAGACATCTGGTGGTCCTACCATATCTTACCCTTATAGATCCAAACTTTATAAACCTTCCACAATATACTGTCCCCTATAACAGGGCCTGCTTTGATAGACATCTGGTGGTCCTACCATATCTTACCCTTATAGATCCAAACTTTATAAACCTTCCACAATATACTGTCCCCTATAACAGGGCCTACTTTGATAGACATCTGGTGGTCCTACCATATCTTACCCTTATAGATCCAAACTTTATAAACCTTCCACAATATACTGTCCCCTATAACAGGGCCTACTTTGATAGACATCTGGTGGTCCTACCATATCTTACCCTTATAGATCCAAACCTTATAAACCTTCCACAATATACTGTCCCCCATAACAGGGCCTACTTTGATAGACATCTGGTGGTCCTACCATATCTTACCCTTATAGATCCAAACTTTATAAACCTTCCACAATATACTGTCCCCCATAACAGGGCCTACTTTGATAGACATCTGGTGGTCCTACCATATCTTACCCTTATAGATCCAAACTTTATAAACCTTCCACAATATACTGTCCCCTATAACACAGGGCCTACTTTGATAGACATCTGGTGGTCCTACCATATCTTACCCTTATAGATCCAAACTTTATAAACCTTCCACAATATACTGTCCCCTATAACACGGGGCCTACTTTGATAGACATCTGGTGGTCCTACCATATCTTACCCTTATAGATCCAAACTTTATAAACCTTCCACAATATACTGTCCCCTATAACACAGGGCCTACTTTGATAGACATCTGGTGGTCCTACCATATCTTACCCTTATAGATCCAAACTTTATAAACATTTATAATTGGTTGGTAGTGAAAGGTTTACTTAGCTATTAAAATACATTTATATGAACATTTTACAGTTATCAGATATATAAAAACTACAAAAGTAATTGAATTATTTTATTTTCAATATTTTTACTTTCCTCAGTTGCCTCCTGGGTTTAAAAATCTGGGCCCTTATCATCACTGATAAGACCTGAGATGTTGAAAAAGCAGGATGAAACAGTTGAATTCTTTGTTTGGTTCTACTGTATCTAACTCCAAATTTGTATTAAATGTGCTATTCACTTGGGTTTCTTTTGTACAATCACAGAAATTAGTAAACAAATTGTAAGGATTGCCATGATACAATAATGTCAATCACTAGATTAATCAACTACACACAAATAAAAAGGACACGATAGAGAGATCAAACATCACAAGGCACATTGGTTGTGTTAAACATTCAGGTGTGGAGATTCTACAACAAAAAATATCTAAGGAAAGCTCTTACAACAGCTCATTGAAAATAACTTATCTCTTACCTAGTTAGGTTTATTAACACTTTTCTATCTTTGTTGGTGTGTTTGATAATTCATGGAATTTGATAACCGCCAAAATTCGTAAATTCATGCCTGGCTTAGTTAGATATATCTAAGAAAGTCTACTGCATGTTCAATTCTACATGTGATTTCATTAGTTCAGGTTATCATTTTTAAAGATGTGAGACACACTATAGGCTAATTTTATTCCAGGATGTTTTCAAAACAATCCATGTCTCCCTTACTTCTATACAATCATTTACCTGATATCACAGTATGTCATATTTATACATACATGTATGTTTATGAAATGGAAATAAATACAGACAGTCAAAATAAGAATTTCTCCTGGAACATAAGAGGGGGTGGGGGCGGGGGGGATGGGGGGGGCTACTCTGCTATTACATAAACAATCATTTAGGATAAAATTTTCTTTAGGTTCACAAAATCACACATTCTATTATATATGCAGTGGTGTTGTGTGTTCATAAGGAACATATTGTTCAGCAACACATGCTGGCACTAAGTGGAAAGGAGAACTGATGGTCATCATACATTGATATACAACAAAATAAACACAGAAAATAAACTCTAATCTGACAAGTATAACATGGAACAATGATAAACGTCATAAAGGTGATTGATTGGTCACGACTACTGGTCAGTTATACATCCTCTGTCTGATTATCAGTACAAAAAGCAAATATTGGTCAGGAATTTGTTGATTGAAATTTTTCTATCAGTTGTCTGACCCAACCTTTCATGATGACCAGATTCTCTGGGTCCGAACTCAGCTGGTCAAGGCGACCAAGTGACCGAGAAGGTTTCAGTGCACCACTCACTGGTGTGCTAGAACGACTCCTGAACACATGAGCTGGGTCCGAGCTTTCTCGGATAAAATAACCATCTTCCCCGCGACAGGGAGTTGAAGCTCGCTTATATCTAAAACGTCCAGCAAAGGGAGACATCTCCCGTTCATCACCGGTTGACTTGCTGCAGACACGAACATCGCGTTCTTCACTGGATGGCCTGGAATTGCGGTACACCACATTCTGTTGTAGGCTTTCCATTCTTTGCTTTACGACAGCCCCTGGTTCCCTTGGTCCTTTTGCTATACCTGCAGGCTTATTTCTGGGAGAACTACTGACTGGTTGAACTTTATTTGACTCTGAAAGCATATTTGTTTCAGACTTCGGTTGAATTTTGTTCTCCAGTCTTTGCAAATAATCTTTGATTGGGAGCTCAGCCTTCGGCTTTGACACAATTGAGATGGGAGGTATGGATGAGACAGGTGAGAGTTTGCTAGAAGGGTCCAAGGGGTCAATGTCCATTTCACAATACACAGCAGAATCTCGAAAAGCCTCACCGTCATCAAAAGCCATGGAGAGTCGGCGTTCGTAGAAACTATCACCAGAAGAATCTGACTCTGAATGTCTTCTACGTTTAGAATCTTCATCAGCACTACGTGGAGAAACTTCTGTGTTACAGCTATCGCCAATAGAAAATGCAGAATCACATTGTTGAATATTGAGATTTTGTAGGTCCAAGAGTGTAGAATTATCCCTGGACAGTTCAGATGACATGTTATCACCATTTGATAACTCATCATCTTGCAAACTGCAAGATGGCTGCACATTTTCCTTGCTTTCTATCAACGAAAGGCTTGATTCAGAAAGGAAAAGTTCTGGTTTCCTAGAGATATCAGACTCGGCCATGCGCTGGCCGATCATGGAGCCACCTAGCTCACCCGACTGTAGCACTGACGTGATATCGGGTTCCCATGGCTTTGAAGATGTGAACCACGAGTTGACAGACAGATGACTATCTCTAATGTCCGTCTTCTCAGAGCCCAAATCACTGTTCCCATCATACGTTCCATACAATTTATTGTCATATGACCCTGAACGTCTATGCGTAATTTTATTGGCGAAATCTTGAATTTTGTTTTTCAGTGTGTCTACAATACCAACATCATGAGGTTCAGTTTCATCACTCTCTTGGCTTTCATACGATGATGATGATAAATTTGATGTACAAGAATCTCGATGAGAGACATGATCGATTGTGTCCTTTTCTGGCGTTATCTGAGTAATATTTGTGGGGAACTTTTGTGCCTCCAGAGATAATGTGGAATCAGATTTATTCAAATATTCTTCCATTTCTGCCACAATTTTCTCATGATCAAAAATCACTTGATCCATGTCGAAGGATGAAGATCTAGCTCCCTTCAAGTGTTCACTGGTTTGGACACCAACACGAGCGCTAGGTGTTGAGTTGGATCTTTTTAGAGGTCTATGTTTATGAATGTGAGGGAGTTTACCGAGAGTGTTGTAATCGTCTCCGTCCCGATCGTACGGTGAGATATGCTGCAGATGATTGTACTTACCAACATCTCTATTATGACCTATGACCCCTGATGGAAGACCAGACACTGAAGGGGTCCCATTTGTACTGACCAGATCACAATGACATGATGACTGATAGTGCTGACCACTATATCGATTGTTGTTAATGTAACTACTGAACACATCCTCTGAACTACCTTTGTCTAAATGCTCACGAGATGAGTTACCTTTACACAACTTTGGTATATCATCAGTAGAAAATCCTGTCACTGGCAGAGAATTTCTGTTAGCATATACCATCCAATCAAGACTATCAAGTTCACCGTCTGTAGAATGAGCACGCTGACGTATCGGTTTATTGTTTAACTGTCTCACATCTGCATTTGACTGTACCCACGGATTTTCATTCTTTAAAGGTGAATCACGATTTCCTAAATTTTCGACATTGGAACAACTTGATGAACACATTTTCTGGTCAGATGTCAGAGCCGATGATAAGGGTAACGGTCGAGTCAAGAAAACTGACCTTTGTCCAGTGTGAGCCGCACTATTTGGTGAATCCTGTAGGACCTTTTTTGAAAATGAGTCATTGAATGCAGAAACTGATTGTCCATCTCGTCGTAAATTGCTGAATGGCTCTTTAGATATTCCTTTAGTTTGAACATTTTGCTCACGATTCACATTAAAGTATTGCTTGATATCAATCACTCTCTTCGGTTGAGGCAAAAGTGCACTGAAACTTTCTGAATTGGTTGATCGTGGTGTGGAAGGACTCTCCATGTCTGAACTGTGTGTACTAAATCTCTTTATGTCCGGGCTGTGGTTACTAGAATTTCGTGTGACACATTTATCCAAGCCCCCTATGCCTTCACTGAGAACAGGCATGCTGGAATGAGTGTCTGCTCGGTAGCTATTCAAGCAAGGTCTACCGTTTGTGCCGACTTGAGACCCTGACTCTTCCTTGGCTGTTGACCCAAAATTATCCATAACTCTGTCCTTAACCGGTGTGTTTGGACCAGAGACAGGGACTTGTTCGTCACTTAAATCAACTGATCTTAGAGGCTTCATACGAGTTGCTATCCGGAAACTTCTTGAGCGCCTTGTAACATTATCCACTCTAGGTTTACTAGTTTCTGTTTCACTAACTTCCTCCTCAATATCTATTGAGGTAGACAACAGAGGGCGACCTCTCATGGCAGACTTAAAGCTTCGATTACGACCAAGGGCATTTCCTTCACATAGATCATCGCCAAGGAGACTGTGGTCGCCATCACTTGCCATTGCCGATACATCACTACCATCACATGACAATGAATGATTTATCTCCCCTGATGAGCTATAACCAGCCTCATCCATGCCCTGCAGAAACAAAAAAAATCAAGGTTTGAACCTCAATTTCACACCATCAGATTAAGGAAATCAAAATTTAACACATGGTATATGTAAGTGTCTCTGACCCAGTATTTTGTTGCACTTTAATGGTTTTAAGATAAAACAATTCCCTATATTACTTCCATGAAAAAATTCAACCTTTTTGCTTTTTATTTTTGCTGATGCACATAACACGTTTTACAATACATCAAATGAACAAATTTTTTCAGACAAACCACTATATGATGAATTTCACTTCTATATTTCATAAATATGTCAATTCACCCAAGTAAATAATTTTCATATTATAAGACATTATATAACATCATGTATATTGTCTTATTCTAGTATTCATACCTTTGTATTTGGTGTAAGGCTCATTTCTGATGCTGTAAGGAGGGAATACTTCCTTGGAAAGTTTGGTGACTGTAAACATAATAAAACATACTTTTACTTGATGGAGCAAAATGTGTTATGATGTTAGAAGAGGACATCCAGTCTCACCTTTCTGTACTAACAACTTACAATATTTACCAACTAATATAAATACATATCAATATCTCTTAAAGATAAATAAAAAGATTACTTACCACTCTAGGACTCACAGACTCCGCCTGGAATAAAAACATCATGACATTAGCACTATATATAAACAACACAAGGAAGACGACAACTTCTCCACAAACTTTCTCCACAAGCTTTCTCCACAAGCTTTCTCCACAAGCTTTCCAACAATTATACAGATTACTTTTACGACATTGAGTTTCTAATTGAAAGTTAAATCTGAAACAATATGCTGAAATTGATTTCAGTTGTAAATCATGACCACTGCAACATCTTTACAACAGTAAAATCTCAACAAGGTGTACTGTTACCCTATAATATAACCATGTGTACCCTTGTATTCAAAATCCTTAAAAGACCACTATTTATGTTGGGTATTTGTTCGTCCGCCATTCTTAACTCAGTCTCATATCTTTATGCACACCATATTTTGTTTGTTCTTTCCATTCCACCAACCCATACCTACCCATCGCTGGTCTTTCCAATCCCAACCCTATACCTACCCGTCGCTGGTCTTTCCCGTCCCCAGCCTATACCTATCGGTCACTGGTCTCTCCCTTCCCCAGCCTATACCTACCCGTCGCTGGTCTCTCCCTTCCCCAGCCTATACCTACCCGTCGCTGGTCTTTCCTGTCCCCAGCCTATACCTACCCGTCGCTGGTCTTTCCTGTTGTGTGGTTTCAGGAGATCTGATATGACTGTGCCAGATTTACGTCTCATTCTGTGTCGTTTCTCAAGATACTCTGGTGCATTGTGGTAATGGATCTTCTTTGCACCAAGGTCAGCTGGCGATACTGATTCTGTAACAAACATTGGATACAAGTTAATGAAATATCTTTATCTACATGGTAAGCTTTGATAATAATGGTGTGTATCTAACTCTCATGAATATATCTATAGATGAAATATTCCCACAATAAGCAAAAGGTGGTAAACACGTTTTCTCCCAGTCAAAGAATGGGCTTATTACAGGACAATGAATCAGAATTATATCTACTTAACAGCAGAACACTATGAGAGTGATCATCATTTGGGTTGATTCACAGATATAAATACAATAATACTTTATCATTGTATACTGACCCTCTTCTTTGCTCTTGCCCAGTTGCATCACGAGACCTTTTGCTTTCTCTGGTATCTTGTCCTTGTAACTCTCGATGATGAGTCTCTTGATCTCCTGACACCACTTATGTTTCTGGTCAAGGTTCCTGGCCTGATAAATAAAGTGACAAAAAAGATCAGGTAAATATCATATTACAGATCACAATATCATCCTCAATTTTATACTTCTTATTTGTTTTTATTTTTTTGTTTTTTTTAATACGTCTCATTTTTTGTTTTATTTTTAAGATCACTACATGTATGTAAAATATGGTGAATAATTATAAGAACGTCAAAAGATTACGATCATACTGTCACATCCAATCTAACTGATTTGTAACAACTACTGTATATTATGTCACATAATTCAGTGCAATGAAATTTGAGCAGATCACAAATTTTAAGCAAATTAGCACAAAGGTAAATTTGTGTATTTGCAACATAAATGCACTAAAGCAACTTGTGCTCAAAAATCAGTAAACATAAAAGAACTGATTAAACTTGCAGTTATTTGATCTCATACAAATGATTTTTAGCTTATTTGGGGAACATGACAATGAAATGGTAGCAAACATTTCTTCCTTATCTAATTAATCTCACACTTTTTTTTTCTTTTTTGTTTTCTTTTTGATCATGAACTATTTAACTTGGTTTCATAAGTGGCACACATTATCAGAAGAGTTTCCGTGTTATCCTGAAAATTGTGGTTATTTGTGAAATACTGACAAAACGCACCTGAAGTGTATGTTGGCCCCGAGGATTGTCAAAAGGAATGATCTGAAAACTTAGTGGTTCCTTTGGCAGACTTTCAACAAGCATCAAATTTGAACACTACAACAGAAATGTTAGATATCATTAGATTTATCTCTAACACTTTACGGTTAAGGAATGTGTATTCAACAACATGTTAGATATCATTAGATTTGTCTCTAACACTTAACGGTGAAGGAATGTGTAATCAACAACATGTTAGATATCATTAGATTTGTCTCTAACACTTTACGGTTAAGGAATGTGTAATCAATAACATGTTAGATATCATTAGATTTATCTCTAACACTTTACGGTTAAGGAATGTGTAATCAATAACATAATACAACTTTGAGAAATAAACAGATCACGTTTATGTAACATCCTAGAGTTGTCTCCCCTTAACTGATATTTCCAACTTTTATGTAATATTCTAGAGTTGTCTCCCCTTAACTGACATGGACATTGTATTAACAACATAGATAAAAGGAATCTAAATTGACACAAGAATGTTACATTAAATTTCTTTTTGTTGTTTTATCATACATATATTTATCAAACATTCTACTTTGTCAAATTGAAATTGGTGAGTCCATATTGTCTTTACTCATTAATTAAAAACCTAATTATGGCAATTAATCGACATCTATTTCATTTAATTGACATGCACAAATAATTAAATTTGGTCTGTATTATTCAATGTTGAATGAGAATCAGCAGAAATTTATTAGATAACAAACATGTTACATACCAAAATAACACCCTTGCTACTAAGCATAGAGTCTTCTTTCTTCTTGGCGATAAGAATCCCTTTCTCAAACAGAAACACGTGTCGTGATGTCTTAGCTCCGTAGATACGAAAACTTCCCTGAATAAACAGTATCATTTACTACTACATCACAGGAAAGAACTTTTGTCATTCATTGTTTAAAGTCAGCTGGAATTTGCGAATTTTGCAGTTTCAACTTCTTTCCATACATATAGAATACAATTCACCACAAGCAATTACTAAAATTACAAGACATTGAATTATGACAAATATGATTTCAAAAGATGTGAAAAAAAAATAGAATTCCTGAAAATTCTTAGAAGAATGAAACATTTACATGGTGCAGTTAGATTCATAATTTGGCTCTACTGTATCTGGTTTGAAATTTGTATTAAAACATCCCAATCTCTTGGGTCTTTTGTCTTCAGGAGATTCATGTATGAAACAATCAAATGCTAAATCAGTGTTAGTCAGAATTCTTTACAGTGTCACAAGTTGTCCTACAATATATGAAGGCATTATAAAGAGGTATGGCCATGAACCTAGGTACAGGTATATAACTGAAGTTTCAAGAAATAGATTTAATGATAAACTGTTTCTAGTTCAAAACAAAGGAGTGGTTGATGTTATATAAACATTTCATTGTACCTTACAATTGAAAAATGAAAATTTTGAAATTTTAATCCAGTTTTGTCACAGCAATTAGCATTGTTACAATATATAAGGCACATTTATCACTTGGCATTTACAGAAAAAAATACCAATACAAATATATTCCTTGTGAAAACATCAACATAACAATATACTTATATATTTTACTTATGTGAAAATCCTTGGCAGATCAGATATGGTGTCATAGTTTAATTCCATTTCAATATACCTCAAAAATGTGAAAAAAAAAAAATCTCCATGTGATCATTTGGTTTTTTACAGTGATGAAGTAATTAAGGTGTTTGTACCTCGAGGACAAGTTCTCCGATTCTCGTCAAGTCCTCGCCTTCGTATTCTTCTAATTGTGACTGGATCTCCTGAACTCTGACAGCATGTTCATGTTTACGTTTCATCTCATTAATATGCTGAGCCATGCCTGTCATGTGATCTAAGGCTGTCGTCAGTACCTTGTGTCCTGGATCTTTCTTGTCATAGTTTTTCAGGATATTCTGTCAGAATATATCAAAATTATTCTATGAGTATAAGATGTCAGAATTTATCAAAAGTTTTCTACAGGTAGAAAATGTCAGAATTTATCAAAAGTTTTTCTATTTTGACATTGAAACACAACTGATGAAGGAAGACAATTTTTAACCTGTACCCTGTCTGAGCCTTGAATTCACAATCTACAACAACAAACTGCCTCGCCAGGAAATTCTACAACTGCCTCACCATTACACCATCTTGATACCCCCCAATGTTTGGAAGTTGTAGTAAATAGACAGCTTAAAAAAATCTAAAAATGATCACAGTGCCAAACTTTCTATTAGGTGATATAAACAATGTTTCCATATACACGGAAACAAAAGATACAAAACTCTTGTACAATTATGACAGGTAATTCAAATCTGGAATCTTCAGATAAACAGACATTACTGAAGAAAGAAGATAATTTTTTACTTGTGTGCTCATTATCTGCAGCATCAAATCGCCTAACCAAAGTAATACATTTTCTCCCAGAAGTTATCAGTGGTGCTGGCTCTCACTTGTGATAGTTTTCAGATATTCATCAAAATAGGAAATTGGATTTTAAGATAAAAAAATATGGTGTCTAGTTAAAAGTGATTTCCTCTCTCCATTTTACAGCTGGTTATATCTTTAAACCTGAATGGTTTTTGTTGGTTAACATAGTTATATCTTTAAACCTGAGGGAGGTATTTTTGGTTAACATGGTTATAACTTTAAACCTGAGGGAGGTATTTTTGGTTAACATGGTTATAACTTTAAACCTGAGGGAGGTATTTTTGGTTAACATGGTTATAACTTTAAACCTGAGGGAGGTTTTGTTGGTTAACATGGTTATAACTTTAAACCTGAGGGAGGTTTTGTTGGTTAACATGGTTATAACTTTAAACCTGAGGGAGATTTTGTTGTTAAGAAACATGATACAAACATGAAGCAGAAGGTGGTACTTGAGGACTCGCTGGACAGGTTTCAGGAGGTAAGAACCGAGGGGTAAATTGTGGCCAAGTCTCTGTTGCTGTTTCTTCAAAAGTTCACACAAATCTGGATCTAACATCACTTGTGTCAATACCTCCACCGCACTACAACAAAAACAAAGCTGTCAATTACTTACAAAATAATTTTGTTTTTAAACAAGTTCATTAAAATCAGAAGTCAGTAAAATACCTACAAATATTACTGCAGTGTATTCATGTAATGATGAACATTAGTATTTATTTAAGTTGGTTTTTTTTAATTCAAAGGTCAAATGTTATTTTGTAATATCATGCTTTTGTCATCCTAAAACCTTTAGAAAGCAAATTATTATCCGCTGTTTTAGGAAGTGAAAATGTGTATGTTAATACCAATTTTGAATTTTAAAGATGTCTATTCAAAGTTACCCAGAATCCAATGGGAAAGTGACCTAAGGTAATGTAATACCTGGGGTAGTTTGTGCAGTAGTGGGCGTAGATTACAAATCCTTCATTATGTCTGACAAAGCAGTCTGCAACCTTCAGCGGGTTGTCTTCACAGAGTTCTAGCTCCCCGAGGAACACTCTGTCAATATATACAATGAAATCAGAGTTTATAATAAATGTTTAGTGGGACTGTATCATCTAATTGTACAGAACCAATTATTGTCATCAACATTGTGTTCTTTATGCTAGATAAGAGCTTTTTTGTGCTTCATATCAATCATAATATTATTTATTCACAACAAAAAAACTTATACATAGCTGAAGACTAAAAGTCATCAAAGTAGATCTCAAAATATTTGGACTCTAACAAACTGAAATAAAACCAGTA